TATTATTATTATTTTTTATTTTTTTTTTCCGAACGGAACTAGGGTTATCGGAGGAGCCGGTGCAGCAGGACAAGGAGGCGGCTGGGAGTGGCGGCGGAGGGGTGTGGGAGATGGTGGTTGCCGGCGGGAGGAAACAGCCGCAGAGGCGGAGGAAGAGCGGCAAGGGGCGGTCGAGGATGTCGGCTAACTCTATGGAAGAAGACGACGATGATGACGATGAGACCGAGGGAGGAGACGACGACGAGAATTATAACGGCGGCGGCGGAGGTGGCGGCGGAGGTGAGCGGCAGAGGGAGCACCCGTTCATTGTGACGGAGCCCGGCGAGGTGGCGCGTGGGAAAAAGAACGGCCTCGATTACCTCTTTCATCTCTATGAACAGTGCCGCGAGTTCTTGATTCAAGTGCAGAATATTGCAAAGGAGAGAGGAGAAAAATGCCCCACTAAGGTCGGTTTTAATTACAGATTTATTTTTATTTTTTTTATTTGTTTTGTTTTGTTATTTTCAGTTCTAATGTGTGGAAAAAAATGCAATTAAATGTCAAATTAATAAAGAGTAAATTATAACTTTAGTCATTTCACTACTTTAACTTTTTTGTCCTGAATTGTGTTTTTTATTTTTGTCTCGTATGTTTGCGAAATGATTATAAAAAGATCCCTTTTGCAACAAAAAGGTCTTTTTTGCAAAAAAATATTTTAATTTCGTTCCTCACGTATGAATGACTTTTTTATAATATTTTTGCAAACATACAGGACGGAAATCAAAATCGCAATTTAAATAGGACAAAAAAGTTATGGAAGTGAAACATACATGACTAAAATTACAATTTACACATTAATAAATATTAGGTTGCGAATATAATTTTTTTTTCTTTTTTGTCTGTTAGGCAATATTTATTTAATTAAAATTTGAAAATTAAACAAATGAATTCGCATTGTTTCTCTACAAATCCCTCTAAATATTCACTTTTTTCACAAAAAAAAAAATAAATAAGTAAATAAATATATAAAAGGATAATGAAAATTAAACAGTGTAATACTTATGATATTAATTAAATGTTGCATGAATTAGAAAAATTAATTAATTAAAAGGTACAAAAAAAGGTGCAGTTAGCAAAGTTTTACATGTTTTCTAGTACCTTTTTTGTCGTACTTGGGAAAAAAGATAAGACAGAAAAATACCCTGACAATGAAACATGAAAAATAAAATAAAAATAAAAATAAAAAAATAAAAAATAAAAAATAAATAAATAAATAAAAAAATCAACTTTTATCAGAAAAGATAGAGATGAAGACAGTGGTCATAGCAAAGGATTCATGTGTTAATGTGATGAAACTTCCGTACTGAGCTGTATTGGGCTCAAAAAGAGGGCCTAATTGTTGTGTCAGATTACAGATCTTCGAGCTGTCCACATGAGGCCTCGACAGCTCATGTACGGCTCTATGGGCTTCTATGTTTAAAAAACTGAGGGGGCCCAAAGAATCATCTGCACATCAGTCTATTCCCCTTTTTTT